TGAGGAGTGATCATAGATATGAGGGGTGATCATCGATATGAGGAGTGATCATAGATATGAGGAGTGATCACAGACATGAGGAGTGATCATAGATATGAGGAGTGATCACAGACATGAGGAGTGATCATAGATATGAGGAGTGATCATAGATATGAGGGGTGATCATCGATATGAGGAGTGTGGTGACACTGCTCAAGATAAATGTTGTAATTGTGGGGGACAGCATAGAGTGACTTTTGGAGGATGTGAAATTAGGAAAAAGGCCATTAAAGTGCAGCAAATGAAAACAGTCAATAATATCAGCCATGCTGAAGCTGTGAAAGAAGTTCAAGAACAAACTGGAAGCAGAGAGATGAGTGTACAACAAAACCCAACATCCCAGTTACCAAAAGAGAGACCTGAACCTACAATTACAGTGGAGAGGATCATGTTGTTCATTGTGTATGTGATTAACTGTGCAGACCAGTTCAAGTACAAAACAGAGAAAATTAAAATAATAGTTAAAGGAGCAGAGACATTTTTTTGGTATAAAAGACATTTCATGGGAGCATATTAACAAAGAACTGGGAGGAAACGGGAAGTCAGGGACATCAGGAGAGGGCACTCTGATTATTCTACAGTGGAACGCTTGAAGTTTAATCACAAATGGACAAGAATTTAAAGGCTCTCCCCCCGGAAGAGCTGGCCCAAGTGGCTGGGGAGAGGGAAGTCTGGGCCTCCCTACTTAGGCTGCTACCCCCGCGACCCGACCCTGGATAAGCGGAAGAAAATGGATGGATGGATGGATAAAACAGAAAATGAAGGATAAATGGCAAAAGATATGGGAGGAAAAAAAGAAAGAACGCTGGTTCTATAAAATCCAAAAGAAAACTGGAGAAATGAGAAGTACAGGGAGGACGAGGAGAGAAGAGACAAATATTTCTCGTCTCAGATTTGGGCATACTGGGTTAAACAGCACTCTTTTTATTTTAGGGAAACACTGCACTGGTAAATGTGAGTACTGTGGAACAGATGAGACAGCATGTAATGTTACACTGCAAAACGTATGAGGAAGAAAGACAACAGTTGATTCAAAATTTAAATAAAATTAAAGTAAAACTAGATTTAATTGATTTATTCAGAAATAACTCGGATAATAAAATTTATCAGATAATCTTTCATTATCTTAAATTAACACAGTTACCCCCGTGACCCAAAATGGAATAAACGGGTAAAGATAATGGATGGATGGATTTAATCCTTGAGTGACATTTTTGGTCCACACTCCTTACCAGTCGGTGGCGGTAATGCACCAATTTCGTTGTTTGCCAACCGCCAATAAACCTCAAAGAAGAAGAAGAAGAAGAAGAAGAAGAAGAAGAAGAAGAAGAAGAAGAAGAAGAAGAAGAAGAAGAAGAAGAAGAAGGGGTTGAGGGCGTGGCTTGTTTCTAAGGAAGTGTGTGATCCCAAGTGGTCGGTTAAGTTTTTGCTAGTTCCACTATTTTGTGACTGTCGCGCACTGAAACACTTTCGTACAAGTATGGGTGAAGAGGAAGAAAAATATGACGGAATGCTACTTGTTATGGCGCAGCAACATGAAGGAGGCGTACAGGAGGCAAGTTAATGAGCTAACGTGCTAATAGGCTTGAAGCTAACGCTGTGGTCAACATTATCATGGAAGCTTATGAAAGATCAGCTACTGACAACATTCACTCTAAATTTGGTACACATTTTCACGAGTTTGGGCTTGTTTTTAGTACGTGATACTTGAAAGCTTTTTTGTAAAACGGACAGCCTAGCCATCGTAATTATAAAATTTTTCTGGTATATTCTAGAAACACGTGACAAGATGTAGCAAAGACCGTCTCTGTCAGTTTGGATGTTCCGTTCTGTAGTAAACACCAAATAACTAAAATGTACCTGGATTTTCTAGAAAACGTTCTATCTTATTGTCATGATTGTTAAGAGACATTCACTTAACCACAGTTTGTATTAAAGGTTGGTAAGTTAGTAGGGTAAGCTGTGGCTGAGTGGTTCGAGCAGGCCTCCTCCAGTGCAACAGTTGTTCAATTCAGTTTATTCATAAAGCACCAAATCACAAAGTTGTCTCAGGGCACTTTACAGGAACATTCACATAAAAGCCAATTAGTAAAGTTCTCTATCTAAGGAATCCAGCAGACAAGTTGAATCTTGGCTTCGTTGCAGTCTCCCATCCTGAGCAAGCACAGTGGAGACAGTGGAAAGAAAAACTCCCTTTAACAGGAAGAAACCTCCAGCAGAACCAGCTCAGGACAAGAGACCATCTGCTTTGACCGGCTGGTTGAGAGGACAGGGAGGAGAGACAGACGAACACAGAAACATAGAATTGTTGGGGGGTTTGAATCCACCTGCAGTCAATCCACCCCTCAGTGCATCCGATGTGTGTCTCATCGGTGTATGAATGTGATCTGAAAGAACTGATTAGTCTCTAGAATGATTTGTTCCATTAGCTTTGTATAAATCTAGTAGAGTGCTGTATGAATGGGTCAATGAGGACACAGATTGTAGTGTAAAGTGCTTTGAGCATCTGGATAAGATGGAAAGATGCTGTATAAGTGCAGTCCATTTACCTGTGAAGTGTTTTGTTTGAGGAGCAGCGGTGGTGGACCATGATAACTGAGTGGAGCAGTTTTAACAGAAACTAATGTTGAGACTGATTTAAAGCAATGGAGATGTGTTTGTGTGAAAATCCTCAAATTTGACAGCATGGAACATTGATTGTTTACAATTAGTGTATTTATTTTAATTAATATAGGACAGCTCAAGTACATGTTCATTTGTGGAAATAAAGATTTTAAATTTTTTTTTGCTTCAACAGTTAGTAAATACATTTTTCAGCTTCCTTCGGCGCAAAACCGATTTCTTCATTGGTGGAGATGCTGGTGCACCAGAGAAGGTGAGCAGTTTGTTTTTACTTCTTGAGACTTTCAGTAAACTTTCCTCTTATTTTTGAGACACATCTCTCCTTATCTCTCATTTCGGCTCATCTGCTCCTTCCAGCTCGTCAGAGATGCCTTTGATCATCACAGTAAACTGGCGTTAAAAGCCCACAAAGAGAAACGGGTGAAACAGGAGATGGAGAAGAAGCAAAAGGCTGAAAGAGCAGCCAAGCTGGCAGAAGAGGAGAGGAAAAAGAAAAGCAATGAGGAACCTAGGATTCAGGAGCTGACGGATGAAGAGGCAGAGAAGCTTCAGTCCGAGTTAAACGAGGTGAAATTTCAATATTTTTACCAAAGCCAGTCAGTTTCACTGCTGGAATATGTGAATTATTTTATTTTTGTGTTAATGATAGAAAAAGAAGGAAGAAGAAAAACTGAAGAATGTAACAAGTGCAGAAAAGACCTCTGAAGAATCAGAGAAGGAGAAGGTGAGTGGACACTGATTGTGTTGATAAGTTGCTGTGATACTTTAAGCACCTCATGATTCAATTATAGTTCAAAGGAAATTAATAAAAAATAATTCAAATGTAATCATAATATGATTATCAATGCTTCTCTTTTTTTTTCTGAAGTTGTCAGCTGGGAAGCTTCTGATCTTTATCCAAAACACTGAAAATGAAGTACAGAGACAAAAATACAAATAATCAATCAATCCACTTTATTTCTATAGCACGTTTTAAAAACCGCGGGGTAGCCGATGTGCTGTACTATAGGACAAAACTAGATTAAGACGATAAGAAAAGAAACGTACAAAACGTACACATTCCAGGTTCACAGCAGGTGTTTTAAGGTGCCATACAAGACAAGATCACGGTGTGTTAAAAGCCAAAAAAAAATAAGTGTGTGTTTTAAAAGAGATTTAAAAACAGGAAGACTGGAGGCTTGTCTGACACTCGAGGGTAAATTGTTCCATAACTTGGGAGCAACGACAGCAAATGCTCTCTGAGCGTCACACTAGTTTTAGAGACTGTCAGCAGCAACCAATCACCTGATCTTACAGATAAATAACAAATAATAATCTGACTATTTTTCATGAATTAGCATTAATTTATATATTTTTATGCCTAATAAAAAGTGCACACTAACATGTATCCAAAAACCCTATTCCTCACAGGCCGCTGAGCCGTTAGCATAGATGCTAACATGCACTGATTACTCTAAAGAAAAGCTATAGAGGTTAGCATTCTGTTATTACTGTAAATTTATACACAAATCAAATGTTTTAAAGTCCATCCATCCAGTATCTTTACCCGCTTCTTCCATTTTGGGTCACGGGGGTCGCCGGTGCCCATGTCCAGCAGTCACTGTGCGAGGGGCGGGGGACACCCTGGACGGGTCTCCAGTCCATCACAGGGACACGTAGAGACAAACGAGACAAACAACCATTCACTCTCTCACTCACACCTAGGGACAATTTAGAGTTACCAATCAGCCTAACATGCATGTTTTTGGTCTGTGGGAGGAAACCGGAGTACCCGGAGAAAACCCACGCATACACAGAGAGAACATGCAAACTCCACCCAGAAAGGCCCCTGGACCGGGGTTTGAACCAAGGACCTGCTCGCTGAGAGGCAGCAGCTCTACCAGCTGTGCCACCGTGCTGCCCTCCTGTTAAAGTCATTTAAAAAAAATCATGTTATAATAACTTCAACTATTCTTTAAAGATATATGTTCTTTAGAGTTTTATGTAGAAAAGATTAAAATGTTGTAGAAATAAACAGCCTTCCTGCAACACCTGTCCACAACAGAAAGCTACGGTAACTCTACTGAGACAAACAGAAATGTGTAGCAAATACTCAATTCAATTCAAAAATATTTTATTAATCCCAGAGGGAAATTAAATGTTGTTGTAGCTCATCATTCAGGTTTCATTAAAGAGTTGTTCTAGATGCTGATGGCTGTGGGCAGGAAGGATCTCTTGTAGCGATCTGTCATACAACGGAACTGAAGAAGCCTCTGACTGAAGACACTCTGTTGTTGTATGACAGTCTGATGAAGAGGATGCTGAGGGTTGTCTATAATGTTCTTCATTTTATAAAGAATCCTTCTTTGTACAATCATCTCCAAAGGTTCTAGAGGAGTCCCCAGAACTGAGCCAGCCTTCTTTATGAGCTTGTTGATCTTTTTTAAGTCACTTGCTCTGGTGCTGCTCCCCCAGCAGATGATGGCAGAAGAGACAGCGCTCTCTACAACAGACTTATAGAAGATATGCAGCATCTTGCTGCAAATGTTGAAGGACTCCAGCTTCCTCAAGAAGTACAGTCTGCTCTGTCCCTTCTTATAGATGGCTTCAATGTTGCATTTCCAGTCCAGTCTGTTGTCCAGGTGAACCCCAAGATATTTATACTTCTCCACCACCTCCTCTTCTTCTCCCATGATGGGAATAGGGTTGGACCTGTTCCTGTTTCTCCTGAAATCTACAATCATCTCCTTTGTTTTGTTCACGTTCAAGATGAGATTATTGTTTCCACACCATGCCACAAAGCGGTCCACCAGTTCCCTGTACTCAGCTTCTTGTCCATCTCTGATACACCTGACCACTGCAGAGTCATCTGAATATTTCTGTAGATGACAGGAGTCTGTTTTTTTACTGGAAATGTGAGGTGTACAGGGTGAAAAGGAATGGTGAGAGTTAGGAATGTGCGATATGGCATAATTAATCAACCTTTATTTAAACAGGTAAATCCCATTGAGCCTCGAGGACTCATTTACAAGAGAGACCTGATTTCAACAAAGAAAGATGACAACAATGGACAACAGCAACAACAATAAACAGTTATAAAAAGTCATACTGCAGGTTTTTTTTTTTTTTTGACAAATAGGATGGCTAAAAGGAAAAGTTAAGAAAACAAAACAAAAAACAGCTAGATTCCAAGACAAATGTAGAAAACTAAAAACAGGAACATGTCAGCATTGGACCCTGCCAGGTGTCCAACAGATTCTTAAAGACACTTAGAGAGGTCATGGTCGAGAGCTTCAAATCTTTTTGTAAGATATTCCAGGAAACAGGAGCGGAATAGGAGAAGGCCCTTTTGCCTAGTTCAGTCCTCATTGAGGGAACACTGCAGGTAATAATGTCCTGAGAGCGCACTCCGTAGCTGCACTCACGCAGAGACATGTAGGAGGAGATGTATGAAGGCAGCAGACCAGGAAGTGATTTAAAGATGAAAATGTACCAGTGAGAGTGTCTGCGTGAAGTTAATGATGTCCAGTTAACCAGTGAATACAGGGTGCAGTGGTGGGTATGATAATCACAGCCAGTTATGAATCTTAGTGCACCATGATAGACAGCATCCAACATCTGCAGCATCCAACATCTGCAGGGTTCTTGTAGGAGCGTTCATGTAAATAATGTCACCATAATCAATTGAGGGAAGGAAAGTCACAGATACAAGGCATTTTCTAGCATTCAGGGTTAGACAGGATCTGTTTCTGAAAAAGAAACCCAGTTTAACTTTCAGTTTCTTTACCAAGTTTTCCACATGGAGCTTAAAAGAAAGATGTGAGTCGACCAAGATACCCAAATATTTATAGGAATCAACAAACTCAATAGGGACACCATTTGAGGATAAAATCGGAGGAAGAACTGCTGGGACCAACTTCCTATTTGAAAAAAGCATCCCTTTGGTTTTGTCGGCATTTAGGACAAGTTTGAGGCGAAACAAATCAGTCTGGATGATGTTGAATGCAGATTTCAAAAGCTGGAAAGCCTTAGCAACTGTTTTAGCTCGACAATAAACAACTGTGTCATCAGCATAGAAATGTATGGATGCATTAGGGATGTTTTTACCTACATTATGTATGTAGATTGTAAAGAGGGTGGGTCCTAAGACTGAGCCTTGTGGTACACCATTGTTGACTGTTAAATAACTGGAGGAAGTACCATTATGTTGAACACATTGCCTCCGGTCTGAAAGATAGTTAGAGAACCAACCAATGGTGTGATCTGAGAAACCGATTTCTGAGATCTTCTGACACAAGATGTTCTGATCCACAGAGTCAGAATCTTTAGACAGGTCTAAGAAAAGTGCAGCACAATAATCTTTAGCATCCAGTGCTTCAACAACATCATTAAGAACCTTCAATGAGGCAGTGGTTGTGCTGTGTTGTTTCCTGAAACCAGATTGATGTGGAGGTAAGATGTTAAATGAGTCCAGGTAATTTTTGATTTGAGAGTTTATCAGTTTTTCTAGAACCTTGGCTAAAATGCAGAGTTTAGAGATTGGTCGATAGTTGTTCAGTGAGGTGGGGTCTCCTCCCTTCAGCAAAGGAAGAACAAAGGCTGTTTTCCAAGTGTCTGGGATGGAGTTTTGTCTTATGGAGAGATTGAAGATGTGGGTCACAGGGACTGTGATGATATGAGCAACCAGCCTTAAGAAATAAGGTGGAAGTTCATCTGGACCTGCAGATTTTTTAGGGTCAAGATCTTTTAGCAGTTTGTTAACCTCACTGACTGAGAATGGAGAAAAAGAGAAGCTGTGTTTAACTGAGGATTGACTTGTAGGAGGGGCTTGATTTGTAGAAGTTTGGTTATTAGGGAGGGCAGCACGGTGGCACAGCTGGTAGAGCTGGTCCTTGGTTCAAACCCCGGTCCAGGGGCCTTTCTGGGTGGAGTTTGCATGTTCTCTCCGTGCATGCGTGGGTTTTCTCCGGGTACTCCGGTTTCCTCCCACAGACCAAAAACATGCATGTTAGGCTGATTGGTAACTCTAAATTGTCCCTAGGTGTGAGTGAGAGAGTGAATGGTTGTTTGTCTCGTGTGTCTCTATGTGGCCCTGTGATGGACTTGCGGTCCGTCCAGGGTGTACCCCGCCCCTCGCACAGTGATTGCTGGACATGGGCACCAGCGACCCCCGTGACCCAAAATGGAATAAGCGGGTAAAGATACTGGATGTATGGATGGTTATTAGGGGAAATGGCTGATTTTCTGTTAGTAACTGTGTCAAATAAAAAACTAGAAGCAACAAAATGTTTGTTGAAACAGTTCAGGATCTCGTGCTTATTTGACACAGGAACAGAGTTAACGAGAAGTTGTGATGGGAGTTCAGATGATTGGGGGGTGCCTGAGAGTGATTTGATGGTTTTCCAGAATCTGTTAGGGTCATTTAGATTTTTGGAGGTCTGAGATAAGAAATTGTTGCGTTTTGCTGCTTTGACAGCAGTTGTGCATTTATTCCTCATCTGTAGAAAACTCAACCAATCAGTGTCTGAGTCAGATTTTCTCGCTGTGGCCCAAAGATGATCTCTCCTGTGCAGGAGATCAGCTGGCTCTGGAGTAAACCAGGGGCTGTCTCGTCCCTTTATTCTGAACTGACGAAAAGGAGCACGTTTGTTCAGAAAATAAATGAAACTATTATGAAAATAGTTCCAAGCGGAGTTCACGTCATCAGTTAACGAAATACGATGCCAGTCAAAGTGAGACAGATCC